TGTGTGCGCATGTTTGTGTGTGGGTACTGATACCAGCACAGAGAGGGAGGGAAGAAGGTTCAGGAATGAGTGAAGAGACCTGGGTCCCAATCTCCTGTCCTGGCCCTCCCTCTGTAGGTATCCCCATGTGATGGCAGAAGAGGGTCTTCGAGTGGTGAGGCAGTGGCTGGAGGCCTCCTCAGAGCTGGAGGAAGGTGAAAGAGGATCTGGTCAGGCCTTTGGGTGGGGGCCTGGCAAGGCCAGGTTGCTAACTGGCACTCATCTCTCCCTTGACCAGCCTCGATTTACAGCCGATGGGAGGTGGAAGAGGACTGGTGTCTGTCTGTCCTCAACTCCTACCAGGCAGAACATGGGCCTGACTTCCCCTGGAGCGTGGGTAAGGAGGCTCTGGGGCAGGAGAGGGGTTGGGAAGAGCCCAGGTAGGGGAGCAATACTGTGTGCCCACGTTTGAGCACCTCCTCTCTGCAGGGGAGGACATGAGTGTAGATGGCAGACAGCAGCTGGCTTTGTTTCTGGTGAGCTCAAGGGTGTGAAGCAGGAAGGAGGGACCTGAACAGCCAGGGGGCACTTGGGCTTGGGCACTGGGCTGTGGTGGGGTGCCCTGTAAGCATGAAACAGCAGGTGTGGGGGGTGGGTTCAGAGGGTGGCTGGTGCTCACTGCAGTGCTCTGCACCCCGTCTGTCCTGCCCCCTTTCCTCAGGCTCATAAGTATATGCACAACTTTGAGGCTACACACTGCACCCCACTCCCATCCCATAACTTCCAGATGCCCTGGAACCTCTAGGAACCACACTGGGACTTGTTCTGCAAGAATGGGATGGGCAGAGACATGGGGACACCCTCTTATTTGTGATTCTCTGTGTTCATGTTGCTGTTTATAGTTTGTGGGAAGTGGGGGGACCACCCCCTTCTTATGCTTCCTCTTGCACGTTTCCTCTCATCCATCTGGCAGTACCTAACCTTCCCCAACACTCGCCTGCATTAAATGAATGGATTATTCCTAATAATTAATAAAAAAGTATTTTTTCTACCGGCTGGCTAACTGTGTGACTTCCCAAGTGTCCAGGGAGCCAGATGGTGGGGAGAACAAAAACCCAAAAGGCTGGGCTTTGGGAAACCCCAACTCCAGTCAGTTTGACCCTCCCTCTCCCTGCTGCTCCCCCAGGCCTTCAGCTGGCAACCCAGATGGCATGCAGTGAGTACCTAAGCCTCCCCCTCCCTGGTGTGCCTGGCACTATCAGCAGCGTGCAGCCTCCCTGGCCTCTGCCTCAGTCCTTCCTGTTTATAGCCACCCCAGGAGCCCAAGCAAGGTGCCCTGGCTTACTTACAACTCATGAGCTTTGTTGTTTACCAAGTGTTTCCTAGTACCTGTTTCACCTACTCAGCTCTTCTACAGACTTCCAGGTCCAACCTGCGTGGTTTCACGATCAGTATCCCCCGTTTTCCTTGCTCACCTGCTGTTCATATGGGGAGTGAGGACTAGTCCGCTCCCCCCATCATGTGCAAGCAAACTTTGCACACCCTCCTCACCATATCAAACCTCTCTCCCTGCAATTCAGCAAATGGGGATTTGGCCTGCCTGCTGGGGACTGAGGGCTTGGTGCCAAGGACTTGTCCTCCCAGAGCTACACCATGCCTTTTTGGACAGCTGTTAGAAGAAAATCCTTAGGTTGAACCTGAGGAAGTTGGTTCCCTGTAACTTCTATTTCCAATCCTTGGAACCTCCTGGAACAGAATGAGTCCCTCTCTCACCCATTAGTTTGCTACCTAGCCACTTTCTTCTTTTGGAAACCTCTTTTCCAGACGAAATACCCCGAAATCTAACCACCCTTAGTCCACTGTTCTGAACAAGATGCTTAAGATGGGCAACAAATGTTCTGATGTGGTAGGTAGTCCCTGGCTAATTTCAGCATCTCTTCCAACCCCAGTGCATGCAAGTCATTCACAATCCCTGAGGCAGAGGCTGTTTGCCCCACCTGCTCAGCTGTCCCTTAAGGGGGTGCATCCTGAGCCTCCACTGGGAACCTCAGATATTCCAGATATTTGGGGTTAAAAGAGAGGAGGTGGCCACAGCTCCAAAATTCTCCACCTCTAGCAAATATTAGAGAGCTGATACTGGCACCCCTCTCCTCTGTCTTGTCCCAGGGGACAAACATGGAGCATGAACCTGTAGGACCAGCTGTATTGTTCTGAGCCTTCCCTTCCCTGATTCACCAGGACAGTTAATCCCCTGGAAACCAAGTCTTTGTTCAGCTAAAGGAACTTCCTTAAATGCCAGTAGGAGTACTGGGAGACAAAGTACTCCCCATTCCTGACCATGGAAACTAGGGACTTTTGACCCACCTCTATGGCCACTTGTCCCTCCCCATTCCTCTCTGCACATACTATAGAGAACAGTGAATGCCATGAAGGGCCCTTGGTATGTACCTGAAGTGGGTGGGGAGAGGGGAGGCTTAGCATTTGATTTCTGGACCACTCCACCCAGGGACCTCAGTTTAGCCCCTCAGATTACTCCTCACTTGATAAGGTTTACAATAGCTGTTTTCTGAGCTACTCTCCTCTGGGGTGGGACCAGCCTCCTGTCTACTCCTCACTCTGTAGTGGGCTTCTAGCAATCTTAGGGGAAGACCAGTTGAGATGCATATCCCACATCTGCTGGGGCCCTGAGCCTTTCTGTACTAGACATCAGGTGGGGCCTGAACACCCTGGTGTTCCTGAGGAACTGGGCAACTTGGGAGGGTAGATGTAGGCTGGGAGAAAAGAGAGTTAGCACCAGGGCAGGAAACTTGGGAAGAAGAGGTGGCCCCAGGGCTGGGCCATCCCTTCTACCCAATCTCATTTGTGCAGGCTTCTGTGCTGCTCCCAGTGTGAGATGTTGGACCCGGTTCTGGCTGTGTTTGGGTTAAGGGCTTGCTCCACGCCCCAGGGAGGAGCTTGTGTTTCCCGCTCAGCTGTCACAAGTGAGTGGAGGCCCCATAGAGTGTTGGGGGTACCCAGGCATCAATGATAGCCAGGTACTTACCCATCCATCCAATCAACAAGCCATCCCAGCTCCCTTAAGAACCCATTCATTTTTTTCCCTCCATTTATATTCTGGTTAAACATCCCCACCCCTAGCTGCTCTCCAGACGCGGTGTTGGGCCGCCGCCCTAACGAATTTAGCTCTCACAGCCCCATTTCTCCAACTGTGGTGTTCTGTCCTCAGGCCCTACCTCCTTTGTTTCGTCACTCGCCTGCACACCCCTAGGTACCCCATAGCCGGGGGAGGGGCATCAGCGAGGATATAGTCATCCCCTGCTGTCACCATGGCGACTGCTGTAATGCCCCGCGTCCTCACCCTGGGAGAGCCACCTCGGAGCCCGTTACCACAGCAACGAACCCTAGTGGCTCCCTTCTCTGGTGGCCTCACCCTGCCGCGTGGACAGGAGCGAAGCGAAACGAACAGGGGCGGGATTAATGAAGCCAGGGCCACGCCCCCTCCGAACTAAGACTCAGCCCCAGAATTTCACTAGCATTTCCCGCCGGTACCCTCAGAGCCCTTGGTCGCCGTAACTCCTCTCAGGGTAACCCCTTCAGGAAGCCCCGACTCAATCACTCATAACCCCCTAGTCATTGGCCTTTTGGCTGCTGTTTTATTCGAGAAATTGGTTCAGAAGGCGCTGTGCAATTCCCTTCTGCTTCCCCTTTGCCCTCTCCGATCCTTTTCGTTTTATCACTCTGTCACTCATTCAACAGACATTTATGTAGGAGTCGGGCACTCCTCCCAATTCTCCATTACTCTGACTTTTCTCTAATACAGTTTTCTTCTTTCATTCATCCCAAGGCTCCTCGTGGGGCGCGAAGTGTGTGCTTTTTCCTCGTGTTTCTTCCCGGTGCGTGCTTCCTGGCGAGTCTCCGTCCGTTTCCTCTCCTCTACGCTATCAGTACCCCGAGGCCGGATGACTCCTGGCTGCTCTTGGACCGTTGTAGGGCGTGTCCCAAAACTCCAGACCGGACGCCCTAAGACTTCCCATAGCCCCCTGACCCCTAAAGTCAAGCCCCTGAGTCTCAGAGGCTGACCTACAGGCGGGAGACCAGCGCCCGCGGGCGGAGGAAGTGGGCGGGCACCTGGCCTGGGAGGGATGTGGCACCACAGTGCCGCCGCACGGAGAAGCTGCGTAGTGCCCTGGGTGTCCGCGGGAGCTTGACCCCTGAGTCCCGACGCGGGGCCCGCGGACCTGAGGTGCAATTAAGCGCGGAGAGCCCGTGGGCGCCTGAGATCAGAGCTGCTGACCTGCAGCTGAGCTTAGGCGTGGGCTAAGACAGGCTTTCCGGAACCCACAGGGACACAGAACTGAGTACGGTCACCGGCACCCAAACGTTCTCCCTTTTAGATTTCTGACAGTGCCAGGTCTTTCCCATCTTGGAAAATGGTATCACCAATCACGCCCTGTGCAAACCTGTCCCCACTTCCCTCACCCATGTTCAATCTGAGTCCAAACTGTCCAGTCTTGTTTCTAAATATCTCTCAAAATTCAGTGTTTCCCTGCCTCTCTTCTGCTAGACTAGGCCGCCATCTTGTGACTGGACTCAGGAATAGCGTCTTGACTGGTTTCCTGGCCTCAATAATCTTTTACAAACAAATCTTAATCCTGTCACTCCTCGGCGGAGATCCCCTTGGTCATTGTTTCTGACCCCTCCCTCCCTCTATCTTTGCTTGTTGACTTCTTTGCCACTAGATTGTGTGTTCTGTGAGTGCAGCGACTTGGGCAACATTGTATCCCCAACATCTGATGAAGTGATATAATAAATGTTGAATGAATCCGAAAGAAAGTTACCCTGTCATTCCCCTGTCACTCAGCCAGGATGTTAGGCTACAGAGCGGCTGTGGGTGAGGACACTCTGTTCCTCTGGCTGTTCTGGAACTGATTTCCACCCCCAATGGGTGTTACCTCTCTCCTTCCTCATGGCTAACTTCTCTTCCACCAATATAAACCCAACCTGGAGGCTGGTGGGCAGCCATGCATTTTATGGCAGATCCCACAGGTAGCCAGAACCTGGGGCCCTTGGCCTCCACAGCAACCCCCAGGCCCTGGGTCTCTTAATAGTTCTGGTCATGGTGAGCTTGCTGTTTGGTAAGTGGCTCTAAGGGGTCAAAGGATCTCCTGGCCTGCTGGACAGAGAAACCCACAGACACCAGGTGTCTGGGAACACCTGCCTAGGCTGTTCAGGTAAACCCAGGCAGGAGGAAAGATGGGATGGGTAGGTTCGGTGGGATAATGCCTGGGGACTAATCATAAATGGACTGATGTTCACTCAGGGTGATTTCTAGTGGCCACTCCAGGGCTGTTTTACTCAACAAGTGGTAACCTGGAGATACTAAAGGGAATGCATTCAAATCTGAGGACAACACAAAATAAGGAGGGTTCAGGGAACATGCTAGATAACAACAGCAGGATCCACAGTGTAGAACAAAACCGAATCCAGCCCGATCACCACCTCACTTGGCTGCAAAGTACCATCTACATAGAAATGGGATTAAGTTTTCTATTTATTTCCTATTTGCCTCACACCGAGTGTACTGCTGCTGGGTCTGGGTCCGGTAACTGGTTAGCATGTGGTTGGGCCTGAAGGAAGAGAGGGATGTATATGTATGTAGTTGGGGAGGGACTTTGTAGACAAAGTTTAATATAAATCTGTCCAGTGATAGGACCACCAAACAAACAATGTGGTTCCAGGCTGCTTGACGTCTTCTGTCTACACAAAGCACAGATTCTTTTTCCTGTGATGATATATTTTTGTTTTCACTTCTGAATATTACAGATTAAGAAAGCACATTCAAAAGAGAGCCCAAGGGGGTGGGTGACTGTGAAATCAAGTCCCAAAGGAAAAACAGTTTAACAAGGTTGCCCAAAGCTGCAATGGGCTGCCTCAGCCTAACCTCTGAACTTGCAAGGTGCTGGGCATGCATTAGCCCCACAAATACATGTTGAATGAATGAATGAATTCATTAATGAGTTCCTTGTTTCAGGAAGTTTAAGAGCAGACAACGAAGATTTTTAATGAGGACTAAAGCTTCCTGATGGAAGCTTGAGCCAGATGAGTTTAAAGATGGATGGTTTTATGGTTTTCTGAGATGGGGAGGTGAGGAGGGAACAGTGGTTTAATTAACCAAACTGGTAATTAGGTGGGCAGGGGTTTGGGGTTAGTACTTCTGTGTGTTCTAGGTAAGTTTGATGCTATCAATCAAACACTTCATACAGCTCAGTTCCCCAAATACTTGCGTGGCTATCGATGCCTCTTTGAGACCAAGGAGTTGGGGTGCCTCCTGGGATCTGACATTTGCCACATCCCACCTGGCAGCAGCTGCATGACTCTCCTCATAAAGAACAGTAAGCTGCTTTCTCCTGTCTTGGGCCCCTTCCATTCCCAAATGGTCACTACCTGCCTGCTAAGGTGCATCCCAAGTCTGGTTCCCCCAACCCTAAGCTCCTGTTCCCTCACTGTCTTTCTCTTTCCTGTCCTGCAGGGCCACTCCCTGTCTCCCTTGCACCTGCCTCCCTCCTCAGCCCACAGCAGACAGGCCCCTGCCCTCTGGCACCCTTGAGTTCATCAGACCCACTAGCTTCTCCTTGGGCTGCCTTCTCCCCCTGTCAGCAGCAGTCTCTTGGCAGCACCACTCTTTGACCTCTTCTACTGCTTCTTCCCCTCTTCTGTCTCCCTCACGGAGGCTTTTTAGTCTCCTGACCCTTCATGGTTCATGTACACTGAAGTTTGAGCCTTTGCTGCCTTCCCACATTACTCTCANAGTTTGAGCCTTTGCTGCCTTCCCACATTACTCTCACCAGAGATTTTGCTCTGCTTCCTTGGCTTCAACCAGCAACCACATACTGCTCCCTACTGAAGCTGAATGTGGAGCCACAGTCATGTCAGTTTGCCCTCTGCACACCTCTGCCTTATTTTCAACTTGCAAACATTGGCTACATTTCCTTATTCATGCCTGCTCTTCCACTTGATCCCTCACCATTTTAAAGTCAACAAACATATAATACATACTATATGCCAGGGACTGCTCTAGTCCTTACACCCTTCTGAGGTGGATGCTTTACAGATGGGGAGACAAAAGCACAGAAGAGTCAATGTCTTGCCCAAGTCTCCTAGAGGCTGAGCCACAGTAGTGGCTCCAAAGTTGGTGCTTATTTAACAACCACTGCATGAAGCTGCCTTCCTATCTTTTTCACTTTTTAAGCAGTTGATGCATAGGCATGGTTCAGTATCAGAGTATTCAAGTGTATTAGAGAAGTCTCCCTCCCACTGCTGGCCCAATCCATCCAGCTCCCATGCATAAACACCACAAAACCTTTCAATTTTCTTGGTTATTCTTTCTGTGATATTTTGTGTACACCCTATACCTTATAAAAATGCACCATTTACTCCTTTTGCACCCCTTCCCCCTGCCAAATGGTAGCTAGCATATCACTGTAAACAATTCTGCGTGTGCTTTAAACTTAACAGTTATGGAGATTAAGTTTCCATGTCAGTTTATAAATAGCTTCCTTGTCCTGTTGATCTGCTGCATAGTACTCTATGACATGGACATGCCAGGTCCATCTGTCCATCCCACTGTTGGTGGACCTTTAGGGTGCTTGTAATTTTTCACTCTCTCAAATAGGGTAGCAGGAATATGAATATTTCTGTTCATGAGCACAAAGATTTACTTTTCTCTAATATATATAATAGCAGCAGAGGTTATCAGCTGCTCTTTTGATCCACAAAACAAAGACCAAACACCTTTTGCTATCTGACCTTCAATACATCTGCCAACTTTTTTTGTTGTTGTTATCATTAATCTCCAATTACATGAAGAACATTATATTTACTAGGGTCCCCTCTTCACCAAGTCCCCCCCACAAACCCCATCAGTCACTGTCCATCAGCGTAGTAAGATGTCATCTGCCAACTTTTTATTGTATAGTTCCAGACAAAGTGCTGGTTCTCCAACTCTTGGCTCCACAAATCCCAATTTAGCCATCTCCAGCAGTCACTGTATTTTGAATGGCTCTTTCCCACCAACTTTCTGTGGGAAGCTTTTGCAGTTCATGGCTGGTGATTCTCTGGCACTCCCTGCTCCTTCCCAGCTACAGAATCTTTATTTTGCAGTTTGTGGGGTCAGGGCAGGGTATGTGGAGGGGGCAGGGGCTTGGGGCTTTGCCTGGGACCTCCATACCACTGACTGCTGCTATTGCTTCCCAGACAGTGGTTCTGACATCATGGTGAGTGGCTGTCGCAGCAAGGAGCAAATGGGTGATTGCTCACACACCTGCACTTCTCCAGTGATTGGCTTCCAGATGTTCTCTCAATGTTGCTTCACAGACTTCTGCAACAACCCTCAGAACAGAGTGCTCTATATTCCTTAGAACTTCTGCAGAGACCTTTGGAATAAAATCCTGCCAGTTTCCAGCCATCCTCCTGATTTTTACCTGGGCACAGCAAGGATAACTTCCAGTGTCTCCACAAGCCTTTCCTGCTTCCCTCAAGTTACTGGACACCAGCCTTGACTGTCTCTTGGTTGACTCCCCTCAATACTTGTATTCCCACTCTGCCCCTCTCCCTTGGCCCCCTCTCCAGAATTCTCTCGAGTTCTCCCTTCAAGTTATCAGTTTGACACCTTCGTCTCTTCTCTCACCTCTAGTCTGCTTCTTTGCCCTGATTTGTTGCTTCTCCCACCGGGGTCCTCTTTGCCTTAAGTCCCCAGATATTCTTAAGTAAATTAGTGTACAAAATGGATGGTTCGTCTGCCTCTTCTGGTGCAAGGGAGGCTGACAGAGGTGGTCCTGCCTGCCACACTGTGGGAGCAGGTAAGCTCTGCTGAACTCTGCTCCTGCCTGGCCTCCGTGTCTTGGACTCAGCTCTAGGCACAAAAAGGACAAGCTGGAAGCTCTGTTATGGCAACTGGTGGTGGGCATTCCCAGCAGTGCCGTCACATCCAAAGCTGTGTGGGGGACTGGCAGGGAGGTCCATGCAAAGGTGGGTGTCAGTGGGAGTGGGGCTGCTGAAGGCCCAGGCCCAGGGAGGAGATGGTGGGGGAGGGTATTTTGCAAGATATGCCGGGCCTAGCGAAACCCTGGCCTCTCTGATTCCAGGTTCCACTTCCTCTTCAAAAACAATGGTTACTCCTCAAATTTGGGCCTTGGGTTCCTCAGTTTCTGAGGCCATCTTCCAGTTTGACTTGTTAGAGGTGGATAAATCTGGGCCTTTCTCTTATACTGATGTCACAGGGGAAAGTGGGCTCAGCAAGAGGGGTACACACTGAAGGTCTGTACCTTTTTGTACCACCAACTGCCACCTGACCTGGAAATTAACACTGGTGCTCCTGCCAGGGCACAGGCTGTTAAAAGGGGCCACAGAGATCTGTTAATGGACATGCAGAATACCACATAGTTGTATGTGTTGTGTGATGCCACTGTTATCAAGCAGAGAAAAAAATTCACCTAAGCTGCTACAACTTAGGCCAGTGGCTACTCCTGAGGGTTCGTGGGGAAGCCTGGGAGGATGGACAGAGGCAGCTTTGGGTACTGATAAAGGCCTTTATGCTAACTTGCCTACTGATAATGCAAACGTGTAGTGTACAAAAGCCTATCTTATGGATGTGCATGTTTTGCCAGAAAGGTTTAAAAACAAATGGGCCAAAATCTGTGTGCACATTTGTCTCTAAGGCATGTATCTACTTTTGAGGTCCTATCTTCTACCTACACACACATTTACGTGTGTTCTCACTTCTGTGAGGCTTGGCAGGTACCCAAGATGAGGCAGAGACCAATTTACCCAGGTGGCAGAGCTGTGGGGACTGGGCTTCCCAGTCACAAGGCTATCCTCATTTTCAGAAAAAGGTTTCATAACCCCAGCACTGGGTTGTGAGGTTTGGAAGGCCGACATTTGGCTGTACTCATACGTGAATCCTGGTGCTTAATGCCAGGTCTGGCTCAGAGAACAGGGTGTCCAGTGCTTATTGCATGTGTGGAAGAGATTGAGTTACAAACATTCATTATTGCTTTCTGTATGTTTAGTTTTTCCAAAAATAAAATAAAGTGGAAGATCCAACCATTGCAGGAAAGTACTGTCTGTACTTTTCCCCACCTATAAGCCTCAACAGAGCAGGTCCTGGGTGGCAAAGTTCCTGAAAAGAACTGAGGACAGGCAGGAACCCAGGTCCCTCAGCACCTATTGCCTTGGATATGTAGACCTGGGCCTTTTGATTTTTCCTGAGTGTTTCTGGCTTAACAAAAAAGTTTTTCTTTCTTAGGTAGAAAAACCCAATGCCACCTGGGTTAACTTCCTAAGTTTTGCAGGCTATGTTCAAGGCTACAAGGAGTCACAATCTTCACTTTGATCTCTAGCTGAGCAGAGCATAGAAAGGATGCAGGTCCTCTGGGGTTGGGCCATGAGGAAGTCACAAAGGCCAAGTGGAGGGGGCCACGCTCTGCAACCCTATTTGAGCCCCATGCCCAATTAACTGTCCTTAACCTGTCTACACCTGCCCATGCCTGAGCCTAACCCCATAAACAATGTGACACCAACTTAGCCCAGTCCATTTACTGTGGAAGGAAGGAAATCAGGGATGTAGAGCTGAGCAGGGAGACCCTCTCCTCTCCTCTGGCACTTATAGAAGTGGGTGTCAGGACTCAGTGATGTGAAGTGGGGCCAAGGAAGCCACAGGCTGCAACAAGTGATAAGAGAAGGAAGCAAGAGCCCAGTGGGGAAGTGGGGTGGTGGAGCCAGTGAGGCAAGACACCAGAGCCAAAACAGGAAGTCTGCACAGAGGTCTACCCTTCATCCCTCCTGCGGCAAGCTCAGTCTGGCCCTGAGTCGTAGCAGGAAGGGATATATTTATATATATAGAACTGAAAGGAGGCAGCAGGGGACCAGATTGAGAAGGGACTGGGAAGGTGATGGAACATTCGGATGATGGAAAGAGGAGGAAACCACTGTGCCTTTCCCAGGTCAGCTTGGGCAGATTATTTTCTAGGAAGAAGATAAGCACTGGGTGCAATGCCAACTGGTTTCTGGAAGAAATTAAACCAAAGCCATATAGATACTGAAGTACAAAGGAAAGGAGGCCTGAGAAACAAGACCAGAGTGGAATCCAGAAAGGGTAAGGTGTCAGGGCCCAGTCTGGGGAAGAATCAAAAGACCTGAACTGTTGAGGAACATGTATATGCGGTGCAGGTCAGCAATGGACAAGCCCAGGTACAGGGGCAAGGTGGCTAGGGGGCCCAGGCCTTCAGGCTCCTTCTCAGGATGAAGCTACATAGGGGCAGTGAGAGGTTCAAGGCTTGGTAGAACTGCCGGATCCTGGACTCAGACAGGGGCAGGGCCAAAAACCCACTGGGGGTATCAGGAAAGGAGCTCTGGACCTGGGGGCTGGACCAGGAGTTACGGTAATCACACTGGCAGCACTGGGCCTGGTACCAGTAATCCAGGAAATAGGTGTTGCATTTTTCTTGGCAGCAGTAAGAATTGTACTGTCCACAGCCTCGGACGGTGAAGCGAACCTTGATAGCTGGAGGAAAGGGAACAACTAATAAGCCCTGCTGCCTCCCATAGTCCCCCAAGCCTGGCATGCCTAGCATGGGTTCTCCCCATGCCTTCCCTCAAGGATCTTCCTGCCTTTTCTTGTACCCCAGCCACAAACTGTGGTTATCTGTGAAAGGAGGGGAGACCAGCAGCCCCCTCCTTGGACTTGACTCACTGTAATAGATGTTGATCACCATGTATGGTGATGAGCTGCTGACGGTGCACTCCTCTGAGCCTGAAATGCATCCTACAGAAGAGTCTTCTAAGAGGCAGAAGTGGCAGGTCCAGACTTCAGGAACAGGAGCTGGGGAAGCAGAAGACAGGAGGGATGGGAGTGTTACAAGTTTCCTGCCCTGCAAGGAGTCCATACATCCATGATCACAGCCCCATCCCCTTCTTAGACTCAGTCACCCCACCCTCCCGGCCCCTGAACCTCACTTACCCTTTCTCACTGCGAAGCAAACGGTGACCAGCACACCCACAAGTATATGGGCCTTCATTTTGAAATTCTCGGGAGAAGGGCAGTCCTTGAGAGATGTCTTGAAACCCCACCTTCCTGTGACTGTACTTGATCCTGGGCTGCACGATGGTTTTTGACAGGCAGTCTGAGCGAGACCTTCTGTAGGTGCAGAGCTATATTCTTGTCTGGGGCAGGAAGTTATTAACTTGACAGGAGGAACAGTGTGTCCTCACCCATAAAGTCTGGTTCCTGAATGTGGGAGCAGTGGCCCAGACAAGGGCAATACCTGGGTCTTTATCTAGCTGTGTACCTTTGTCCTGCATGCCCCCCATCTATTCCACCTCAAGGGTCTGGCACCATCTGCTTCCCTTCCCACACAATAGGGCCACTGCCTTTGATGCTGGAAGCAGCTTTGGCCAGAAACCCAGCACCTCCATCAAGACAGGCATGTCTCAGCTCCCCCAGCAGGGGGCACACAGACACCACTAAGCAGCAGTTCTGGACCTTGTTGTCCACCCTCTCCACCCCATACAGTTTATTTCAAGACCATTTTTCCTGGTAAAACCCAAACTGAAAGACAGTACGGCTGATTACATCCCTTATAGCATAAACAGATTGCCACAGGTGACCTGAAAAGAACAAATGCCTTTCTAGTGTTAGAAATCTGATTCTCTGGGTGTTGCCTTGTGACATCTCCACATCCCATCCTAGGAATTCTGCTCTGCTACTAAAATTATCACCTAAATCCACTAGGCACAAACCTGTGCTGTTTTTCAACTTGGGGAAGGTGGGCTGGGCCAATGACGGCCCCCTGGTCCAGGGCACCACTACCCACCCTTCCCCAACCCCAAGCACCAGTAGATCAGCTCATGGCCTTTTCTTCCATTTTATTTCATATTCCCACCACAATAATGACTCCTTTAATTTAAACTAAAAACCATAGAGGGTTCCTGTAAGAGTGGCAGCAAAGGAATAGAGCTGTCAAAGACTGAAGGATAGGTGGGGTAGGGACTCAGCGAATTGTCTTGACTGGGCTCTTGAAGTTGCTGGCGGCTTGTAGCTGCAGCTGGTAGGCCATCGGATGGATCTTGAAACCATAGAGCCTGCACCGGGGTAGAGGTCAGAGAGGCAACAGGGTGAGCCCCATCCTAGCCCTGCCTGTGGCCTGCATTCCCATCTCCCCACCCCAGCTCCTCCATGGGGCCTGCTCAGTGCACAAGGGCAGTGGTTCTCAACTTCTCCCTTCAAAAATATTTGGAAACTATCTTAAATATCCTTTAAGACTTAATTCTTGACTATGTATGTTGTGTGTATACCAGCACTTATTTCAACATAAAACTAAATTTTTCTTCCCCTTACCACAGTAAAAATGATGCTCCAGGAAGATAAACCACACTTGATCTGTGGCTCTGGGGATCTCCTGACAAAAGGCTGAGCAGCCAAGATGATGACAGGAAGAGCTATTGTTAAAATGGTGTTTCAAGTACTAAATGTTATTCTAAGCAATTCACATGTTTAAAAATACCCTGTCAGGCAGGTGCTGCCATCATCCTCATTTTATGGATGAGAAAACTGAGGTATAGGCAATCAAATAACTTTCCCAAGGTCACTCAGCAGGGAGAAGCCCTGGCTTTGGCAGAAGCAGGCCTCAAGAAAGGACCATGCCCTTTCCTTCTCTCTGGGGAATCCTGGGCCTTTCCTTTGACCCTTGGTGACTCTGTTCCTGCTCCCCACCTGGGCACAAACTGGTTGGCAGGCCGCTTGGGCCGATACTCGGGGTGCACCATGAAGAGCATGTGAGGGAAACCGGTGCCGAAGTAGGCGCCGTCCGTGTGGTGGTGTCTTGATGACTTGGGTGTGTACACGTCCATGCACTTGGGGCAGTACAGCTTCACCATGGCCTCGCCTGGGATGTCTGAAAGGCCTGGGAGACAGCCAGACTCAGCAGGCTGTGTACCCCCAACCCTGCCCAACCTCCCTACCAGACTTAGGCCCCGACTTGCTGAGCCCGAGCTCCTTCCTGGAGGACCTGACGTTTTATGTGGCCCTCCTTTCCCTTCTCCAGCACTCACCGATGGGGAGCATTGGCTGGTTCTCACAGTACACACGAGGACAGTAGCCAAAGTCTCCCTGCTGGTACTTTTCCAACTGAGGTGAATAAAATGGAAGGGACTGGTGAGTAGGTGTGAAAAGAAGAGGCAATCCCCTCCTCGGACCAACCCACATCATTCTGTCCCCAACTCCTCCTGCCTCTCAGTCCAAAGGCCCCTTCTCTGGCCCAGACTGGCCCTCAGATTCTTCTGTTTCTTTTCTCCAGCTAGACAGGCTGCAAACCATCTGAGCCATTCATTATTTGTTTCCTGAGGAAGAGGTAATTTACAACACCTTCCTGTCCGAGGTCAAGTCTCCCTCCCTGAAAACACCCCCTTCAGCACAACCCCCAGTCAGGAATTGATGCCCCAGGCCCAGGTTCTGGGGTGCTTTCCCTCTTTTCAGCTAGATTCCTTGACAAGGCTGAAACACGTGACTTCCTTCTGCAGGAATCTCTGTTTCCCTTATTGCCTCAGAAGGACTCAAATGGGGCAGAGAGGCCTCACCATCTGGGCGATGCCACGGTTGGTAAGGATATAGCGGGCGTGGATCAATCCATAAAGCATCTCAGCTGCCTGTTCAATCAGGTCACTCTGGTTGGGGTTGTCTTCCAGCTCTTCATCTGAAACATGGCCCCGGTGGAATGCAACCACTTGTCTAACAGCTTTGTTAGGTGCCCTGCCCACTCCCAGGGGCTGCTGGCTACTCAAGTTTACCCAGCACCCTCCTTTAAGCCTCACCCCACCTCTCACCTGGGCACCTGACCCAGAAAGCTAGGCCTCTGACCCTTCTATCAACCCAATGCAACTTTGTCTTCTCTCCACCCTTTCCAGCCTCTGCTCTCCTTTCCCTCCCAATTCCCTCAACACATCAATGCAAAGATATCAATGCTGGAAATGGAACTTTAGGCTGGAAGGTGTGAAGAAGGAAAAAGACACAGGAAATGAGACCCATGGAGAAACTGGCATTATGGAATAGAACTGAGTTCTAGGATCAGAGTATGGGAGCAAGCAGCACAAGCCACAACACTAGACAAATCAGGTAGGGGATCAAAATGAAATAGGGGATTTTGGGTTAAGCAAGTCAAAGAAACAAAAGGAAATTTAGAAATTCAAAAAGCACATGAACAGGGGTTTGAAGAGGGAAAAAAAAGCATATACACACAAAACAACCCTGAGGGTGCCTCACCAGGCTCCAGGTCCAAGATCATGTCTAGAGCTTGTCGATAGTGAGGCACCTGTTCATTGAGTCCAGTGAGATTGAATTTATCCTGGATATAGTCTTCATCCACCTGTCAGGATGTGGAAGTCATGAGGAAACCTACAGCAGATTCCTCAGTTTTGATCTGGACTGGTTGCTTTGATGCCTTTTCCTCAACACAACTTCTTGTTCCCCCCGTTTCCCCATTCCCAACTAACCTCCCATAAAAACTTTGGTTTTTCTAAGGATAAGCAGGTATTGCAATCCCCTCCTTAAAGAGATACTCCTTTCAAGATCCCTGTCCCTTCTCCTAGGGACACCTCTTGGAAATAGTTTTGCCCTTTCCTTAGGGGGCAGCTGGCTCTCTGAGTACAGTGGAGGCTGAACAGTTTGGGTTTGGAAGGCAATTACAATCCCTTATGCTAACACGCAGTTTTGCACATTTCAAAACACTTTATTATGCGGTATTTTAATTCTAACAGTCACCAGAGAGAGATACTACCAGTCCCTCTTTATTAATAAAAAAGAAAAGAGACAGTTGATTTGTCCAATGTTATAATGCTGGAGGGTGGCAGGGTTGGGACTTGGGCTTCTGTCTTGCCCCTTCACCACAAAGTCAGTGGGGGTTACTGACTCTTCCTTGACAAGAGAAAGTTTCTATGGAAGCATGTGAGGGAAGTGTTTGGAAGTTGAACATCTGAGAGAGTATATGGCCAAATGATATAAGGAGAACTCACCTCACAGAAGAATTCATTGCCTCGGAGCCCACAGAACCATGAAATCCAGGACACCTCCTCTGAGCTGCTCATCTTCACGTCAGCTGGAAAAAGAAGAGTGTAAGTAAAGCCTAAGCTCTCCCTCCCTGCCTCTGGTATCCTCCCTCCTCCCACACTTTGCTCTCCAACCACGGAAGAATTTGGGGCCGCCTTTTCTTAAAAGCTTCGACCCTGGAGCACCTCTCTCCAGCTACTCTTATTCACACCTACACCTCTTCTCTGAGATTAGGAAGTCTTTGACATCCCACCACTTGCAAGAAGCCAGTAATAGGTCGAGGCCCTACCAACCCTCCTCACATCCCTGACGCTCCCGAAGGCCAAGCCCCAATCTCCTTGGTGTCAACTCTAGAAGAGTCCTTGGCTAGGGCTCCCTACTCCTTTAGGTACTCGGGGCCTTTCCCAAGTTTATCCTTTTCAAGCAAGAGCTGGATTCCTCCTTTTCTCATGGTCTGGGGTGGCCGACAGGTCCCTTTCACGGCAGTTCCCACATCCCGCCGCCGACACTCCGGCCATCCCTGCGCGCTTCAGTGTCGAACCGGATCACTTCCTCCCCCCACCCCCACATCAAGGCTTGGAGACCCCGTGTCCCGCGCCAGTGATAGGGGACTTGGCACGACGAAGACCTCAGACTCACGGCTGGAAGGGGACTGGGACCAGGGTTGCGGGGAAGGGGAGCTGTTGCTTCCAAGGAACGGTGGCGACTGCTACAGCGCAGGCCGCGGGCCTAACCGTGGCAGGCGAAATGGGATGGGGGGAGTGGAAATTGGCGAGGGTGAGAAGGGGGCAACGCGCAGGCGCCAAGGGTGGGCGGCGCGGTGGGCGCCGGGAGGTGTAGTCCCTTGGAAGGGAAAAATTGGCGAAAGTAAGAAAGAGCGAACTACGAATCCCAATATGACCCGCGCACAACCCCGGTGTCGCAAGTCCCCTGAGGAGGGCGCTCGACAGCGGAGCGCTGAGAGTCGCCACCGGAAGCGGAAGCGCAGCACTGCGTTCTGGCCCTGGGAGCAGGAAAAATAGTCTTGTGATCCCGAGACAGAGAAGGGGCGGGGAAAGGGCCGAGGCTGGCTGGATTGTTCCCTGCCGCTCCTCTCAGGCTGTGGGCTTCTGGTCCTGATGTACCCCTGCTACTCAGGGGGCTGACCTCATTCCTGGCCAACCTGCCGGGTCCTTATTTCCTGTCGAGCCTCTCGCCCGCGTCAGGCCCGCCACTGGAGACCCGCGACGGGTTCCCGGTTCACCCCGGGATCCGGTCTCCTGATGCGGGAGGTGAGGCTGGGCTCCGTAGCCACTGAGGGAAATGGGTAGGATGTGCTGGACTGAGCTGAGCGGTGTGAGAACGGACTAGTGCTCTAACCTGAAGTGGCGCCAGCCATTCTAATGCTCGTCCTCTTGCACTTCTCCATTTTCTCTTAGGGCTTCAGTGGGGCCTTCTGCTGCGGGCGCTAAGTCTGACCTCCGAACCCTGGTCAGAGTAAGGGTGAGGGGCAGCGTGACGCTATTTCATTTAACAGCTTCCGGGCATTCTACAGGTTTTCCTCTGCCTCATGGCTTTTCTTGACCCAGAGAAT